AGCAGGAAGGCCTACATAGAGTTGTAGTTGTTGCATGCATATTGTAACTTCCTATTTGGCTCTTTGGCAGGGATGCAAGACTTCAATTACCTCAGCAGCAACTGTTTTGAGATCACGGTGGAGCTGAGTTGTGAAAAGTTCCCACCTGAAGAGACTCTGAAGAGCTACTGGGAGGACAACAAAAACTCTCTTATTAGCTACCTTGAGCAGGTAAACACCGTCTCCAGCACAACATGAGAAATTTAAGTGTACTTAAACCTGGTGTGCAATAGCCTCAAAGGAGAAGTGATCTAGGGGACTCCATCTGGCTCAGAGTGAGGATGCTGTATTTGGAAAACTATCAGAAGTGATTCAGTCCTTAGTGGTTCAGTTAAGTTTTCATTTGCCATGGATTTTGAAACTCATGATTATTTTCTAAGAACTGAATAGCCCAAAGAATTGTGGAAAAATGAGGTAGAATCTTGTTTTCATTCATATATTATAAGCAAGAGTAATAATAGGATCCTACCCATCTCCAATCATCTTGGGCCTGTCAGGGCTAAAAAAGAATGAGATAAGTGAGGGGTCCAGGGTACAATATTATTTTTTAAAATGTTATCTTAATTAACTAATTTTAATTTTTTGACTAGAGAGAGAGGCAGAGAAAAACTGAGAAAACAAGCCCACCAGGTCTGGGGCTCTAACTGGTTGACCATGTGGGAATGCAGAGTCTCAATGATCATACTACTTGCTGGCCCCCAGTGTGCAAAATTTAAGGAGGAATTCACTTTCATAGTCACCCAAGTGTAGAATCAGAACTGTCTTCTTAAACCTTGTATAAACATATCCCACTTTTATTTCTGTAGTCTCAGTTGATTCCAGTTAATAATAATAACTTCCATTTATTGGGCATTTACTATTTCTCAAGCAATATTGCAAATGTCTTAAATATAGTAACTGGTATACTTAATGCTCACAACAGTCCTTTGAAGAAAGTTTTCATCCTCATCATCTCTGGATTAAAGAGGAAGACTCAGACACAGAGAGCTTAATAGCTTGCCTGAAGTCCTTCAGCCAGCATTTGAATCTATGCTGGCTAGTTCCAGAATAACAGTGAGAGTTTACTGCTTCTCATGACATAAGCTTGAATCTTTTCCAGAGAGTCACTTATGTAGCTATGTCTATAGGCTCTCTATAGGATTTTGGGGGATCTTGCCATCTGCCAGAATAAAATACCTCTCCAACTCGGACTACCGCTAGGCCAGTCCCCTGCCAGCTTCAGCCCCTCTGCAGAAAGTAGACATCAGTACCTGGGGCAGTGGTGGGGAAGAACCCAAGGTCTATCTCTTGCCTGTAGCACCTTGGCAATTCTTAAATTCCATTCTGTATGAGACATTTACACCCCAAATCATGTTAATTTCATATGCTGTCAAATGGTCCAGACTAACTTGCTAAACTATCATGATATAAACATATGCTGTTAAATAAACATTAGCTATTTTCATGTATATATGTAGATATAAACATATACATAAAACAACGCAGTTTTTTAAAAAGTGAAATCAGCTCAGAGAATCTTTCACACAGGTCAAGTATCCATAGAATACCTTACGGATAGGATATCATGGAGTAGATACACTGATGATGGAAAATGATTCAAGAACACTCATTCCACAGGATGTTTTCAACCCCTTGATTTTTTTCAATCAAGGGATTGCTTCTGCATGTTAACATATAAAAGCATTTTTCAATGACAAAAATTAAGGGTAATTACCCACGTGGGCCCTCGAACAAGCTTGGCGGGAACTCGTATAGAATGTCTCCTTTGAGGAAGCTGCATTTAGATGGATCTTCTAAGAGCAAAGGTAACTGGGAAATGTATTTTCGAGTAGAGGTAGTAAAATGGGATATTTGGTGTGCCCTCCACTTAGAAATCAAAGACTGCCTCCTTAATATAATGCTTTTTATTTCATTTACATATTTTCTTCGATAAAATTTATTGAACTACTTTTATGTCCCAGGCACTCTGTAAGGCACTAGGGTTAGTGATTACCCTAAAGAAGGCTTTATATTAGTGGGATCAGAAACTTGAATACTGAATCATATAAAGGATGATGAGTGCTAAAATAAGGGTTAACTACAGGGAGCAATAGCAGTAAACAGAAGGGTCGCTTACTCCAGTCATGGGAGTTTAGAAAATACTTCCTAGAGCTATACTAGAAGATTTACTGTAGTCAAGGCCCTTAAGATCATCACGCTGATCAATAATTAAAGGGCAGGCTCATCTGTTGCTTAAGTTGCCTCTTAGTTTTTGAGAAAAAAGTACAAAGCTAAACACAAATTCGTGCCATCAGGGAAGAGGAGAGTATGTCCCATATTTACGGTGATGAATTGCCGTACATTCAACTCATCTGATAGCTACATCAGTCTACATAGAATATAACATTCAACTCATCTGATAGTTACATCAATCTACATAGAATATAACATTCAACTCATCTGATAGTTACATCAATCTACACAGAATATAACATTCAACTCATCTGATAGTTACATCAGTCTACATAGAATATAACATTCAACTCATCTGATAGTTACATCAGTCTACATAGAATATAACATTCAACTCATCTGATAGTTGCATCAATCTACACAGAATATAACATTCAACTCATCTGATAGTTACATCAATCTACATAGAATATAACATTCAACTCATCTGATAGTTACATCAATCTACATAGAATATAACATTCAACTCATCTGATAGTTACATCAATCTACATAGAATATACTGAAGAGAAGAGGGATGAAATGAAACAGTCCTGTGTTATGCCACTTGGAATGCAAATGTCTTAAATATAGTAACTGGTACACTTAATGCTCACAACAGTCCTTTGAAGAAAGTTTTCATCCTCATCATCTCTGGATTAAAGAGGAAGACTCAGACACAGAGAGCTTAATAGCTTGCCTGAAGTCCTTCAGCCAGCATTGAATCCATGCTGGCTAGTTCCAGAGTAACTGTGAGAGTTTACTGCTTCTCATGACATAAGCTTGAATCTTTTCCAGAGAGTCACTTATGTAGCTATGTCTATAGGTTCTCTATAGCATTTTGGGGGATCTTGCCATCTGCCAGATCCATGTGATTTTTCTTGAAGTGGCATTGCCATTATGGCGTAAGCTGTGTAGAGACAGTAAGAATGGCATTGCCAACAGGCTCACACAGCTTGCCTCATAGGACACTGGAGTTTAGGGAACCAAAGGCTGATGAAAGATCAGTGAAGCCAGCCAGAAGTTCTGTTCTGTAATTGTGTTCTTGACAATGGTGGTGATTAGCAATTGAACACCTGGGTCTAGAAAATATAAGCATGGGCTAGTCTGCGACTCATGGAAAATAGGTGATTAGGAGATCAAATTCTGTACTTGGTTGAGAGAAAAATCTCTTGCAGAGTGTTTAAGAGATATTTGCAGGGACAAGACATGTCGAGCTAATTGGAGTAAATAGTTTGGCTAAGGAGAGCCTCCCACTCCATAGCTTTGGAACAGTATAGTTCTCAAAATTCTCAAAGACTTTTTCAAAGAATGATTCATGGGCACCAGCATCTAGAATCCCCTGGGGTTTTTATTAAAAACAAATTTCCTGTCCTGCTGTTGAATCATAGTCCCTGTAGGGTAGGATTCAAGAATATCTATTTTAGGAAGTTCTCTGGTGACATTTAAATACACAGGGGGTTAGGGACTACAGTTTATATATATGTGTGTGTGTGTGTGTGTGTGTGTGTGTGTGTGTGTGTATATATATATATATGAAATTTTAATTGTCAGAGGGCACATGCACTCACCCCATCCCACCCCCATCATGGTCATGCTGCAATGCCTTCTCCCTCATATCTCTATCCTGACACACTTTGGGCAGGTGTGCACATGTACCTGATATGTTTTTCAAGCTGCTGCTGCCAGGATTTGAATCATGGTTAGCCCTATGTCATCTGGACCCCTTAACTACTAGGCTATGGACTGGCTCAAGAGCAACTGATGTAAACAGTCCTAGAAACAAGGGAGACTCTTTCAGAAACTTTTTTAGCTTTGGTTAAAACTGAAATACCCTGAATCTGGGGGAGAGTTCATTACAGGAGGGACAAACATAGTAAAACAACTTTTCCAGTCGTGAGTGTGATTTGAACTTCTGTGATTTCCTTTACAAAAGTCATAAAGTGACAGCATTTACAAATCTGAATCATATGGAGATGTGACTGCTTATAATAATTCTATTGAGATTTATTGCAACAGAGGAATTTTTAAAACAGAGACGCTCTGACCCACAGTTGATACGTCAAATAGACGTTTACTTGTTTACCTAGTTGTTATAAACTTTGGGTTGCAGAGGCAGAAAAAGTATTAACTGAGTATAATGCTTAATATAGGTGAATGATATATTTTTACCATAATCAATTGACTTTTTAAAGGTAAGAAAATTTTAACATTTTGCTTCCCTAAGGTTTATAGTACCAATAGTATCAGAATTATAGTACCTCAAGATGATTAAAGTACTTTTGGATAAAACTTTCCTCTTTTGTGAGCTAAGATCTTTCTAAATTTTGTTGAACTATTCTCATATTAATAAACTTAACGTTTGTATTTCTTCTTTGTTATTTTTCCTTTATGCCATTTCTGCATGTACCTCTTTCATTTTCCACACATTTTCTGATCAAGAATGACTCTTTCAATTTTCCATTCAGTCAACTTATTCATAATTGAGTCTTGGAGACCAGAGATTCACTAGGTTGTAATATTTTTTAAAATGTGTTTTTATTTTTAGTAGAAAATAAGAATATGCTTTACATGAAACATGGTCTTAGATCATTTCGAGTGTTTATTTTTGGTCATCCTTGACCTTCACAGATACACCGAGGAGTTAAAGGATTTGTCCGAGACCTTCAAGGTAACCCAATTGCCAATGCAACCATCTCTGTGGAAGGAATAGATCATGATGTTACATCTGGTAGGTGCTTTTTGCCACAGTCTGTGGTTTTTGGTGTGATCTATAAGAGCATAATTACTTGTTATCATAATTATAATTTTCATACAATTCCAAGCAAAACAATTCAATATGTCATAGCTGTACACCATCTCTCCCCCAGCTTTGACATAGTTTAAGTTGCATTTATGGGGTGGCTCAGGCAGAGAAACACGGGAAGCTGCTGCGTTTAGAAATCGGGGTACAGCAGGTGGCGCCCTTCCCTCAGCTATCTCACCCTGAGCTTCCAGATGGTGCCAATTCCTGCAGTCCTTCAGGCCGGGAAGGGAATGAATGCAAACTAGCTGGAGTTAAGAGATCAGTGACTTTCTAGCCTCCAATAAAGAGAGATGCTAACCAGCTGTGAATTGGTGGACTGCAGGATGGAGCGAAACTAGTGGAAAGGAAGATACAAATGCTGGCCTGCTGTGGCCAGGAATTCTCATACCTTTCTTCACTTAGTCCATATAATAAATCCAGACTTACTTATGGTTAAACAGAATGTTAGAAGATGAAGTTGTGATATTAATTATTCCTAGGTTTAGAACCCCATTTCCATTTTCCCAGTCTGGGGAAAACAATGTATTATCTGGCAAATCTGCCTACTTCTGTAATTAAACACCTTCCAGCCGTTTTAGTTGAAATGTCGCTTGTTGGGATCTTTTCAACAACAACAAAATGTAACCATGAAATGTTTATGTTTTTTTCTGTTATAATGAATAGAATATATTTATATACATATAATAAGAATTATGATTATAATTAATTTCCCAAACCAATCTATATTATTACATTTTTAAGCCTCCACATTTAAGCTTTGATTTCTAAAAGTCTTTAACATTTGTCCTCTTAAACTCCATGTATTCATTAATTTAACAAATGTAAGTGCCAGTACATCTTCCCACAGATGTGCCAATGTATTGCTGTGCTTAACCCACAGGGAACCATTGCTACCCTCTGACCACAGGAAAGCTCTTATCTGTTAATCCCAGCATGCCATGCAAATGTTATTTTCTGTGAATTCCATGATATGATAATAAAAGGACTAAATAGGTGAAAGGAATGAAATCTGAGGATTGGTCTCTAGAACATTCCAGCTTTTCTTTTTTTAAAATTATTTTATTTAATTTTCTTATTCATGGTTATTATTTTATTTTATTGAAATTGATGAGAGAAAGACAGAGAGAGAAGGAAAGTGAGAAAGCAAGTTGCCAAGTCCGGGACTCGAACCACAGTCCGCCATGTGGGAGTCCAGCTGCCAGCTGGACCACCATGTCACCTGCTAGCCCCAAGAACATTCCAGCTTTTCAATGGCAGGGTAATAAAGAGAAAGTGACAAGGAATTAGAAGATGTTGTGTGTTGTCATGGAAGCTTAGAAGTGTTTCAAGAAGGAGGAAATGATAAAATGTGTCAAGGAAGATGAACCTTGTGGCCAAATCATTAGATTTAGCAGTTTGAGAAATCTCGACAAACTCCATTTTAGTGAAGTGAATGGTGGACGTTTCACTGAAGTGGGTAAAAGAAACTATGAGGAGAATGATGAGGGATAAAGAATATTGGCAAATCTTTCTAGAAATTTTACTTTTTGGCAAAGAAGATAAATTAGGCATTAGGTGAAAGGAGATGTGGGATTTGGAGGTAGACTGGAAGATACAGTGAGGAGGGCTTATTGTTTTCCTGATGGTATCTATTTTCACAGTAAAATAAGATGTAAACCATCAATGAACTAAGAGTGAAGATGAGGCTATGTTAGAGGGAAAAGGAGAAAATCTGAATTGTCCACTAGGACCTTGCTACTTTGAGTGTGGTCCCTGCTAGCAGCTTCCAGAGGGTTAGAATTGCAGAATCCCAGCCTCACCCAGAGCTAGAATATCAAATTTTGCATGTTACGAAGTCTCCCAGGTGATTGATGTCCACATTTGAGAAACACTGTAATGGAGTGGACCAAGAAGTTATAGAAGGAAGGCATCCCCTTCCTTCTGTGTAAGGTTCGTGTTTATGAACTGGAGACAGACCAGCATGGGTGTGTGTTTTCTCACACTTGTGCAGCCACATGGGGATAGGCAGAGAATAGAGTTGAAAATTGGGACCAGTAGTTGATGTAATGGCTATGTCACTGGACTCCCATGTAGTCCACTGCAGTTTGTGACTCCAGTTCGACTGCTGACCCGGTGGCTTAAACTCACATGGGGCGTGTGTGCGTGCGTGCCCAAGATCCTGAGAGGAGAACAGAGGAGAAGGGATTGCGGCGTGGCCATCCCCCGCTGGGGAGTGAATTCTTGCTTTCTGTCTCTCAGTATTTCTGGCGAGTGCATGTGCTCTATATCAAAAACCTCTCAAAAAAAAAAAAAAAAAAAAAAAGCAAAAAGGAATTATCCAGGGTTGGTGGTTTACCAGGCATGTATGTATAACTGAGGGAGAAAAGCAAATGAAGTGAAGACATGTGCGTATGCATGATTATAATGGGAGGGGAGCCTGGAACCCAATCTAGGTTAGGAAGGAACTGCAGGTTATGTAGAGAGTAAAGAGTGAATCATAGCTCTGAAGAACTTGTTGAAGATGCAGTTCCTAAGAGGCCTCCCAGGCCAACTGGATCTATGTCCAATTTCTAATTCTTTAGAAATTGAAACTTTCTTAAATTTTTTTTTTTACCCTTTAGTTTTTGCTGTAGGATGTGTGTGCTTGCCAGAGAGAGAAAGAGAGTGAGAAATCACACCCTCAGGGGCGATGGCCAGGCCACAATCCCTTCTCCTCCATTCTCCTCTCAGGATCTTGGGGCACGTGTACCCAGAGTGATTTCCAAGCTGCCAGGTCCAGGACTTAAACTGTGCAGTCGGCCCTGTGGAATTCAGTGCCTCCGTGTCACCTGTTGGCCCTAAAAATTCAAATTTCTAATAAGTGCCGTGAGGATTTTGATGAAGCTATTTTTGAGCCACACTTTGTGAAAGTGTAGACTCTTAGATTGTCAGTCTTCACTTGGCCCAGAATAAAAAAAAAAATGTGTCCAGATGCTCTGACTCCACTGCGTGGGAACTTCTTAGATCTTTTTAACCTATGTTATTCCTGACATGATTAGAAGATTTAGAATATCTTAGAAGGTTTGTTAGATAATTTAACACTAATATCTGTAGATATGAGAAATTAGGCTATTAGAGAGAGCTTCACAAACATTTCATTAGAACGTTATCAAATTCCCTATATATCTACTTTAAAAATAAGGAATCAATTGCACTGTGCTCTGGTGGGTATTCCTTAGATGGCATAATTGGGCATTTCATGTATGTGCCTTGTGATGTGATATGGTTTCTCCACAGCAAAGGATGGTGACTACTGGAGATTGCTTGTACCTGGAAATTATAAACTTACAGCCTCGGCTCCTGGCTATTTGGCAATAACAAAGAAAGTAGCAGTTCCATATAGCCCTGCTGTTGGGGTAAGTAAGTATAACAATAGCTATGATTTAATGAGTGCTTATCATCATTAGCCATATTTAAATGACTTATGAGGTGGATTCCATTATTATGTCTATTCTGCACGTGAAAAAACTGAGACCTACTGAAGTTTAGTGACTTGCCCAAGGTCTCACTCACTATGAAGGGCCGTTAACATTTCCAAGCTTTTGAAGATATTCAGAATAAAATAAAATAAAATTTTTAAAAATTAAAATTTTATTTTCGGACTTTGATTTTGATGCACATAGAATTCTTTTCCATTGGTTTCTTTCTTTCTAGCTCCTAGCACAGTGCTTTACACAATATGTATTTGAAACAAAAATGAGTCCTTCAAGATAACTTTAGGAATTAACTGAGCATTTGTTAAGCAAGATTCTGTATGCTAAATGCTGCCAGAAACTATGTCCTATTTCAGTAAATCTCATATATTTTGAAAGTTGTTTAGTGGTGATTAAACTAAAACTTATTTTAGAGCATAATTTTACCACTATCTCCATGTTATATTATTAGGACCATGGGATAGTCTACAGGAGTTTCAATAAAAAGGCTTTCTTGAGTAAACTTACTGTATTTTTGCTTATGCACCCAACATTGGGAATATAAGTACTTGGTTTTTGTAAACAAATATCTTGAGTTTTTAACCAGTACTTTAGTCTTGACTTTGTATTATACGTATGTTAAGCTGTGTATATATTAAAATCATGGAGTATATTTGGGCAAATGAAACCTGGATAAAAGCAGCCACAGGGACAGATAATAGAAGGTCCAACTATTTCTTTTTAAAATTTTTTTAATTTACATTTTTAAATTTCATTTTCTTTTATACATTCAATCACATTATTTAGCTTACAAAGTGAATATTTCAACATGTGAACATTTCTCCCTAGTCTAGTTCATAAAACTATAAAATATCTTCAACAAATAATACCACATTTCTTTGTCCCATTAATGCTTTGCCTCCCTATTTTTCTTCTAAATGTCCTTCCTCAGACCCTACTCTTTTACACACACTATACCTGGTATTTACATCCATTTACTGTGTTTCTATGTCCTTTAGTCAATCGGTTTCAGTCACAGAGTGTGGACACTCAGTATATATTAAGTGGAGACATACAATGTCTCTCCTTCATAGCCTGGCTTGCTTCACTCGAGCATTTGTTAAGCAAGATTCTGTATGCTAAATGCTGCCAGAAACTATGTCCTATTTCAGTAAATCTCATATATTTTGAAAGTTGTTTAGTGGTGATTAAACTAAAACTTATTTTAGAGCATAATTTTACCACTATCTCCATGTTATATTATTAGGACCATGGGATAGTCTACAGGAGTTTCAATAAAAAGGCTTTCTTGAGTAAACTTACTGTATTTTTGCTTATGCACCCAACATTGGGAATATAAGTACTTGGTTTTTGTAAACAAATATCTTGAGTTTTTAACCAGTACTTTAGTCTTGACTTTGTATTATACGTATGTTAAGCTGTGTATATATTAAAATCATGGAGTATATTTGGGCAAATGAAACCTGGATAAAAGCAGCCACAGGGACAGATAATAGAAGGTCCAACTATTTCTTTTTAAAATTTTTTTAATTTACATTTTTAAATTTCATTTTCTTTTATACATTCAATCACATTATTTAGCTTACAAAGTGAATATTTCAACATGTGAACATTTCTCCCTAGTCTAGTTCATAAAACTATAAAATATCTTCAACAAATAATACCACATTTCTTTGTCCCATTAATGCTTTGCCTCCCTATTTTTCTTCTAAATGTCCTTCCTCAGACCCTACTCTTTTACACACACTATACCTGGTATTTACATCCATTTACTGTGTTTCTATGTCCTTTAGTCAATCGGTTTCAGTCACAGAGTGTGGACACTCAGTATATATTAAGTGGAGACATACAATGTCTCTCCTTCATAGCCTGGCTTGCTTCACTCAGCAGTAAATCTTCCATGTTCTTCCACTTTTCAATCCTTAAGCCTTTTTAGCATGTGTTAGTTCAAGCAGGTTGTCAGTATAAGTATGCTCCAAAATAACCACAGTTTCAAGTGCCTATCTCAAGGCAATCTTAATTTCATCTGAAAAGGGGATGATGAGGAGGTTTGGGATGGGGGCCTGCAGGTTTTAAATAGCCCTTTATGCAGAAGCGTGTGACTTCTTCATAGGCTAGTTGAGAACTCCAGTTCACAAGCAAAGTTGAGTGCCTGGGCCACTCTCCTCTGGGTGATTTAGAGATGTGCATGCTTCCATCAGTTTCTTTAACAAATTCAAGATTCTGAAAAGCAGAACCTTATAGTTTGGGACACCAGGACACCAAACCATATTCTTCCATATTTATCCAGTTATTAGGAGAAAATTTGAGGCTATTTGAAGGAGCTTGCCAAACAGTCAAAGGCAGAAAATTAATTATAAATTAACATCTTTCTATGGGGGAAAGAGATTGAGGTGAAGACTTTGTTAAATAATACTTATCTTTGAAGCTCTTAGGTTAAAGCACATTTCAAATATTAACATGTTAGATTCTTTTGATTCCCCCCCACCAAAAGTATCTTCTGTTTATCAAGAGGGTTTTCAAGAATCTACCTTAATTCAAGTGGTTGAACTGAACTTATTCTATCGAAGCTAAAACTGCTTTTATTTCTTTAAGCATTTTAGTTTTAAAAATATACATGTAATTTGATAACAATATGTGCTTGATTTTTCTTCTGTAGGTTGATTTTGAGCTGGAATCATTTTCTGAAAGAAAAGAGGAAGAGAAGGAAGAATTGATGGAGTGGTGGAAAATGATGTCAGAAACTTTAAATTTTTAAAAAGGCTTCTAAGTAGATGCTTTTAATTTATCTATATAATGTAGTATGATATAATGTGACCATTTTCTTTTAGATTTTGTGCAGTTAATATTTGACACTGATTTAAAAAATCATCTAAATATTAATCACCGTTACTTAAAATAAATAATTAGACTCTTAGGTAAAAATAAGAACTTCCTCTATTTCATTCCCTTATATAGCATTCATTTTCCTACATATGTTACATGAAAGATTATAGAAAAGATTTAAGTAAGCTTAGATTTCAATGCAATATTTCAGTGTGTTATTTACAATACACAACTTTTTGAGTAATTCTAGCTTTTAAAAACTAGTAAAGTTCTTTTAATGTAATTGGTGATACTGTCACATGCCACTGGAGAGGTCAACTGGTATACCTTGGATTGTGATCATTCTATTACAAGACTTTAAATAGTTTAGTAAACTTGTCATTTGTCTCCTGTGCTGACTAGCCATATAAGCATGATCTCGTTAATGCATCTTTGATGGGAAGGAAATGTACATGTTTACCAAGAGTTTGTATGAAAGGAATGGAAATTAACTTCTTGCTTGTTCATATAGAGGCAATACTATTATATTATTTAGTCTGTTAACACTATTTCAGAATTTGGGGTTTCTCTTGGTTATGGATTGGTTCAGAATTGTATTATGAATGAATAAATGTCTAAAAAAACTCCTTTGCGTATATATGGTATGTATGTTAATTCTATGATTTTTGGTCTAGAGTTGTGGTCTTGTAATGAAAAAGGAAGTGTTCCCTTGAGAGTTGCTACTCTTTTTTTTTTTTTTTTGAGAGGTTTTTGCTATAGGGCGTGTGCGCTTGCCAGAAAGACAGAGAGAGACAGAGAGAGAGAAAGCGAGAAATCACCCACCCCCCCTCCAGGGGGATGGCTATGCCACAATCCCTTCTCCTCCATGCTCCTCTCAGGATCTTGGGCACGCACGCACACGCACCCGGCGTGAGTTTTAAGCCACTGGGTCCAGGATGTGAACTGCGGTCGACTACGTGGGAGTACAGCAACATAGCCATTATGCTAATTGCTGGTCCCGAGAGTTGCTACTCTTTTGTTCATTTTCTACATTTTGCAGTTACAAAATGACTACTGTATGTCGAGTGAGCGCAGTGAAGACTCTACATATATTATTGTGGAAGGCTCTGATTCCGTGGATCTTATTGATTAGTTGTAGACACAGACTTTTAATAAATAAAACCCAAGTTAATATACAATTATACATTGTGATGAATAAAATGATAGGGAAGAATGGAGAAAAAGAACGGCAGAGAAATTTAAATGAGACTGAATGAAGGAAATCAGGGATAGCATCTTAATATACATAAGCCCAGACGTAAAATATGAGTAGGTGTAAAATGTGCAGAATGATAAAGTTTAGAGGTGTGTGTGTGTGTGTGCATAGTGGTGGTGATGGTGTGGTTGATCACTGCTCTAGATACAGGTTTTAGTTAAAGTATTGTTAACTATTATAATAATAGACTCTTGAATATATAATGACTTAAACATAACAAAAATGTGTTTCTAGCTCAGTTATCTTGCTGGGCAGAAGAAGAGAGATGAAGTGGCTCTTCCCCACACAGACTACACCACAGTTTGGGGTCTGTTCTAACAGATTTGCCGTCTTCTACTTGTATCCACCAAAGTTGCATTGATGGTCATCGCCATTCGTTTCAGCCAGTGGGAAAGGAAAAGGTCACTGAAGTGCAAGTAAGGGTGCTTTTTATAGGCAGACTGGGGGGGTGTTATGCATTACTTCTGCTCACTTCCCATGCCTGGAATTATATTTCATTGTGGCCGTAAGAACTACAAGGGGGGGCCAGCAGGTGGCAGAGTGGTTACATTACTGGACTTCCACATGGCTGACTGCAGTTTCGAGTCCTGGATTTGGTGGCTTGAAACTCATGCCAGGTGCATGTGTGTGCATGCTCGAGGGGAGGGGAGGATTGCCAACACATCTTTACTCTCCTTTTTCCAAGTTAGAAGAGTTATTCCACAAAGAAGACAACTTTAAGTTATGTTGGATCATGGTGTAGAGTGTTTTAATTTTGAAATCTCTGAATGATCCCATAATCGTCTCTATATTAGGCCTGAATGAGACCACTTCTGTCTAGCCACCCAAGAACTAAAAAGAGGCAGAGGCTGGCAAGTGGCATGATGGATAAAGGTGCTGGATTCCCACATGGCCGATTGCAGGTTGAGTCCCGGAACTGGTGGCTTGTTTTCTCACTTTCCCTTTCTCTCTCTTTCTGTCTCTCTTGGGTGAAATTAAAAAATAAAACAACAATTGGAATAAAATAAATAATTCTCAAAAAAAAAAAGAATTAAAAAGAGGCTGTATGCACCTCTCACACCCAATACACCATGAGAATAGGTCAACTAATGTTGGTAAACACTCCCATTTGAACTAGTGAAGAAAGAGATGTACATAGCATTCAGTGGTTTGCAGCCACTCTGAAATTTTGCTGAGTAGTTATTTTATAAGACTCCTGTTTTGGTTATAGAAGTTGTTCCTGGTTTTGGAATTGATTCTACACTCTGGGAAGATCTTCCTTCCCTATTGTTTTCCATGACCCCAACTTTGCTCTTTTGAACCCTCTCTCTCTTGTTCACTAAGGATTTATGTTGGGGAAGGTCCCTGCATAACTTCACCTCCTGGAATGTGGGACCTCACTGCAGAAAGAAGGAGAGGTTTGGAATAAAAGTAGACTTTTCAATGCTCACATTTGCTTGGCTAGGACTAATCACATGGTCTTGCTTAACCCAACAGAAATGCTGAAAATATGGGGGAACAAGTAGAATAGATGGCTCTGCCACCAAGCTATACGGGTTAAGTGGCCTACCCATTCAAATGTTAGAAGAAAGGTGTTAGGGGCCAGAAGTTGGTGTAGTGGTTACATCACTGGAGGCCTACATGCTAAATTACAGTTCGAGTTCCAGACCCCATAGCTTGAACTCACGCTGGGCGAGTACATGCTCAAGATCCCAGGAGGAAAATGGAAGAGAGGGGATTGCAGTGTGGCCGTCATGCCTATGGGATGATTTCTCACTTTCCCCTCTCATTGACTCTCTCTCTCTCTCTGGCAAATGCACATGCCCTAAGGCATAAATCTCTATAAAAAAAGGAGAAAGGTGTTCATTCCAGGTAGTCTTGTCCTTGGCCATTCATCCTGATACAGGATTTTGAAGTATCCCACCATTCTAGTCATGCTCTTAATGTGCTCCATTGTTATCTAATGAGAGGTTTAGAACTGAGTGGTTTTTGTGAGGGAAACTCCTTTCATCTGGTTCCTATTTCTATGTCAGAAGACATCCATTGGGGTAAGACCATGGCTTCTACTATCAATCCTCAATCCTTGCTTACTTTCTAGCTGACAGCAGGTGCCCTACTTGGGTGACACAGCTGCATCAAAGGACTGTAAGCTTTCCCTTTTCCTTCCTAGAATTCAAAACGTTTCTTTTGGGGAACAAGGTAGCTTTGGGTGTGTGTATTAGAAAAGAGGAGGCAGATTGTGGGCACAGAGTATCAATAGGATCTGTGGTCCATAGATCTAACTTCAATTTTTTCAGTCAGTTGTTTAATAATAAAGTTGATAATTTTACCTTTGTCTGTTGATCTCCTGTGTCATATTTTTAGATGGTTCTGAATTCAGATAAGGAAGAAATGGGCATCTTACATTGAATTCCTTAAATTTTTAAGAGGTGTAGTGCTTAATATTTTAGATGTGGCCTTTTTTTATCTTTTCCAAAATAAAATGGGACCTTTTCTCTCTTTTGAGTACTGTACTTCTCTTAATATAGTCCAGGGTGAAACTGACTTTTTAAAGAGGTTATGTCACATTGTTGCCTAAATTTAGTATAAATAGAAACTGAATTAAGGTTTATTTGGTTTGTAACAGAAGTTAAGAACATGGAGAGGGATCGGCAGTTGGAGTAATGGCTATGTTGCTGGTCTCCCATGTATTTGACCATGGTTTGAGTCCCGGATCTGGTGGCTTAAACTCATGCCAGGTGTGCTCAAGATCCCAAGAGGAGAATGGAGGAGAAGGGGCCGTGGCATGGCCATTCCCCGTGGGGGTAATTTCTCACTTTCTATCTCTCTCTTTTTGGTGGCAAAAAACTCTCAAAAAACAAATTAAAAAGGACATGGAGAATGTGTAAGGCATAACTGGATTATGAACATAAAGGTCAAATTGTTTTAGGTAGCAAAAATCAGAAAAGAAAAGGAATGAGCAGTAATTTTAATGGAATAATGAATACATTTAAAATTTTACTCTCCCACCCCCCAATTGATAATGGAAATCAGACACAATACTGCGGGAGAAATAGGTCATCTTAACTCGTATTTTGATTTACAATTCTTCACATAAACAAAGGTAAACATGACTTGCAGAAAGGGGACTATGAACTTTGATATTCATATTTTATTTATACAGGCCATCACTGAAATCTTTCCACCGTTTGGTATTGTGGGAGGCTAAAAAACCATTATTTGTTCCAATGTATTACTCAACTTCTCAACATTCTCATAAGGATTTTCTTCTGTGGTTAGGACTGGATGGTATTTAAAGTTTCTGCTTCAAAAAATGTCAAGATAGACAATACCCAGACTTTTATGTCTCACCTTGAAAATACACTGCATTCTGGTTTTGCTATTCTTAAATAAACATCATTTTAAATACTTACAAATGCCCTGATTCTTTACATTAATTTTTTTTCCTGCTAGACAGCCTGTGAATCAATGAAATTTTGACTTGAATTTATAGAGTACTACATAACTCTGCTTTTTTTGTAATTAGCTTAAGTCATTGCGAAATTTCCCGAGGACCAGTGTTTTTAAAAATGGCAAAGATTTGGTATAGTTGGGGTAAGGGTTATGAGTGCAAGCCCAACTGATACTCAATATAGTCTGTAAGGGTGGCTAAGAAAAGAACAAAATGGCCTTGATAAAGCTTACTGGAAATATTTATGATGCCAGGGGGCCACAAGACTAAGATTTTGTAGGGTACTGTAATTTTTTCTGTCTTTTCTAAATATTAAGCTGTCTTATGTCTTGTATTCTACTCCTTTTTTTCCCTTCTTCCATACTCTTCTTTTAAAGATTTATTTAGCCGTCACTACTCAGCCTGTGTCTCTATGAGAGATTCAAATAGCCGTGGCCTGTGGCCATCACTATAAACATCACCACCATCACTATCATTCTTACCATTATTGAGCACGTATCTCATGTCACACTCTATGATAGTCACTTGAAACACAGTCTTGTAAAGTCCCATGACAGCACTGTAGGGTAAGAAGCGCTACAGCACCTTTTTTTAACATTTAAAAAAAGAGATTCAGAATTTCAGTTAAATGCCTCACTTTGCACTGCTGGTAACTGGCAGAGTAAGGTTAAAACTCATGTTTGGCTTGATTTTAATCCCATCTAGTTTCTACTTTGTCTCCCTTCTTTCACTTGCTCTGCACAGATTTGTATTCTTGATAAGTGGCACTTGTTTTATATTCTTCATTCTTCTTTTTCAAAATTTATTTTTATTTATTTTTTACATTCGTTTACTGTATGTTATTACAACACACAAAATGAATTTTCCTATCCAGAATACACTGTATATTGGCTCAAAGATATTACCACATATTATTATCTTCAACAGATAATTTTCCAT